GCCTAATCATATGTAATGCCCCAAAACTTTAGAATAAAAATTTATTTGGTCAATATATTATATTTTATTATTTTGAAAGTTGAGTGTCTAAAGTGAAGTATGTTTTAAATTCTTATGTTCTTGGGTCAAATATTTGGATTTTGATAGAGTGATGATAAGTATATCAATATTGTACTCGTTGGATAGTTCGTAATTAATCATGTAAATTAGACTCGAGAAAAAGTGAATTCGGATAAGTTAATCTTAAGATATTGAAGTTCAAAGAAATTGAAAAATTATTTGTTTATTTTTTTAAAAATCAAATTGAATTTGGATGATGATAGCCACATGTATCTAAGGAATGAATGTAGAATAATTTTTTTAGAATTCTATTTGAAGTCAAAAGTTGCTATGTCTATCACGTATTAGGATTAGAATCATATTTTTATTGTGATAGGTTTTTTGTACACGTGTCATATTGTAATTTATTTACTAAAAATTTAATTCTTATCCAATTTGATAAATATGATTTTTCCATCCCAATTGTACACATACTCAACCATTATATATATATTTTTATAAATAATGTGTAATTGTCCCACAATTTATCACCAAAGAATTTTACATAGCAGCGTTCATATAAAACAACTGTAAATTTCTAGTGTATTTTTTTTTTCAAAAGCTCGCTTGATCAATCAAGATAAGATACTTTTGTACAAGCTGTTAGTTTCTTTATACTTTTATATCCATTAATATATGCATGAATTATTAGTGGACCTTCAGGTTCTTTATTAAAAGATATAAGATTCAACGGGACTCTAAAATGATTTAAAATGGGTTTGTCGCTTGATCACCGATGTACTCCATAAGAAAAGAGTGGTATAAAATGTTTATTTGGTTGCATATAATTGTGTATAGAAATTGCACATATCTTATTGGGTATTTTTAAATACTCACTCTTACAAAAATTTTACAAGTTATTTCCAAGTCGATTGAAACAGTGGCGGGATGGTGATGCGACTGCCAAGAGAAATCGAAGAGAAAAAACATTAAATTCATTTTTTTTTTACTTTTAAATTATTAGTCAATTTTATTTGTTCAAAAACAGTTATTTAGTTTGTGGTTACGTTTTCATGTTTGAAATTAAGGATATTTTAGTTATTTTTATTTAAATAATATTATTTTATCATTTCGCAAAGAAATTGAATTTTTGATAACACCCTACCGTTTGTGAAATTTTGAGGCGTTACA